TTTAAAATCTTGCATGTGGTAGGTGCAACCTCCATGCCTTGACAGTTCTCTAAATCTAGCTCGATTTCCACTAATGTTTTTTTTTTTCAACAAAAAGGGGTGTTTCCCTTTTATCCACCCGGGTTTTAAAAAACACTTTGTGTTTTTTGTCAGCTTGGGCCGTAACTTCATTCTGACTTTTTACCTTTGGGCCTACTCCTCCCCTCCCCCAGTGATTTATCCAAAACTTCCCGACGGGGGTGTTTGCCACGAATAATTTTCCAAAAATTCTTTCTTATCTGGCTCAGCATGGACTAGGCAATTAAACAACAGAGATTTTCAGTGAGAAAAATAAAAAAAAAGGGTTTTGGGAAAATCGACTCGCTCAAGGTTGGGGAAATCCCCCCAGAAAACTGAACCCTGATTTTTTGGATACCACCAGACGCTCTCTGCAGTTGGAAATAAAGACAAACCAAAACCCTTTTTTTTTACGTAATAATATTGGATTCGACACTTGATCCGCATCGTAAACTGGGGGGAGTTCTGCTAAACAGACTGATTAGTTTCGGGAAGAGGGTAATTCCTTATTTAATCCCCTTCTCTGCCTCCTCACCCCACCCCAAACGCCATTTTACACTATTTTTTCAAAGTTTACCCACAGCTGATGTTCAGCGATCATTTCACACTTTTGCATTTTTCCCCGCAGTGAGAGATAATCCCCTCACCTTGTTCTTAACTTGACTTTTTTTTCTTTTAAACAATATATGTAACGAAGATCACTTGCACACTTCAAACCCCACAAAAAAACGTTACTTTCACTCATTAGATTATAAACCCCCTTGAATTACGTGTTTTCAAGAAAGGGGCCGGGAGCAGATTTTTAGTTTTTCCTCCGAAGTGTCTACCGCCTCGTTCCAATCCCGTGATCCCAACGATGACTCTCTGGGGTTTTCCCCAATACTTGTCCCCTCCGAGTGTAAACTTTCCCCCTTACCAAAACCCAAGATTATCTTTTTCTTCGAATTTTTAAAAGGGTTCTTTCCCCCTTTTTCAGAAAACTTTCTTTCCGCGAGAAATTTTTTCACCAAAACGGGTAGATAAACGAAAACAAGGGGAGGAGAATCGATACAAACATTAAAAAGACTACATGAACGCTGTTTTTCCCCACATTTTAAAAGCCCGTTCGTGACCTCCGTTCACACCATATCCGGTCTCTTTTACCCTAAATTTTTCCCTGTTAACATCATTAACCCCCCCCGTTGCCCTTTCTGAAAACCCAGACCCCCAAACCCCCCCATTTAATTGACGTTACCTTATCTTTGCGTCGACTTCCTCCCAAAATGGAACCCACTAAATGTTTTTTTTTAACCATTTTTCATGACATCTCGTGGGTGACTGCCCTCTCTGGGTAACTAGGAGTCATCTACTGGCGGCGCTGAGGGGTTGAGCAGGTGGTAAGGGAGGCTAGAACCACCGGGTTAAGGGAACAGGGTCCTTGGGCCCCCTGAACCGTGTTGATTGCTGCTGGATGTCCCCTGTGGGAAAAAAAACTTTGAAATTTTAAAAATAAAAAGTAAAATATATAATATATATATTAATTATATATAAAATTATAATATATATAAAATATTAATAATATTATATATATTCGTGCCGAATATTAAAACCGTAAATTTAGAAAGAACTCTTTTTAAAATTTAAGTTTTTCAAAAAATTTTTCTCTTGTACTTTTAAGGTTATTTTTTTTTTAATTTGAGTAAAAATTAATTTGCACCAAAAGAACTTAAAAACTACCTAACCTTTTATAACAAGCATAATTTTTTTTATCCTAACCAACTAAAAATATTTTAGATACGTTTACAATAATTTTAAAACAAAAAAACCAACGAAATATTTTTTTTTGTTTGATTCAAATGATTTTGGGCGAAATTTTTGCTCACAAATTTACTTGTCCTAATGGCAAGATGAGGGGTTTCTTTTTTGCCCAAAATCGCAATTTGCCCATTCTGCCGACATATATTTAAAAATAATAATATAAAAAATTTTAATATATAATATAATTTAAAATAATGTATAAATTAATATATATATTAAATAATATATTATATATATTATATAATATATATAAAATATATATATAATATATTAATATGCAAAACAACACCCCGAAAAAATAAGGGAAAATTTCCCAAACGCCCCTTTTGTGACTATCACATTAATTGATAATTTACTAGTCACGAAAGCGCTTGGAATTTCTCTATTCTTTCAAGTGGGGTTTTGCATATTCTGAATCACCCATTTTTTGTATCTTATTGCATATATATATTATATAATATATATATATATATATATATATAATATATATAATTTTTATTATATATATATTTATATATTAAAAATTTCATATTTAAAATATATTATATATATAATATAATAATATTTAAAAAATTATATAATATATATATATATATAATATATAAATATATATATTTTTAAAATTTTTAATTATATATATATATATATATAATTTTATATATATATATATATATTTATATATTATATAATATATATAAAACATTGTCCCCGACTTACGATATTTAAATTGTTCCAAAAGGCGTTTCCCGGTGGTTACCAGACGTTTTGGGTCCCATAAGGAATATTGAAAAAAAGATTAGTCCATTTCAAACCCCCCAAAAATAACTTTCAAAAGACTTCAAAAATACACTTTTCATTTTTCGGGTTGGGAGCTGTTTGTAAGTTTCGGCCTGTTCTATCTTCACTATCTATCTATATATATAATTATATATATAAAAATTTATATATTATATAAAATATTAAATATAAATATTATATATAATATATATATATATTATATATTATATAATTTTTATATATATATAAATTTTTATTTATATTTTATATATAATTTTATTTAAAAATTAAATAATTTTATATATATATATATATATTATAAATTTTTTTATAAAAAATTTTTTTTTTTTTTTTTTTTTTTTTTTTTTATATTTGTGGAATATGTAAAACTGGCAATTAGCAAGAACTCTTTTAAAAATTTAAATCATTTCTAAATTTTCTTTTACGTTTTTTAGATATTTTTTTTCGTTTAAAATATGTAAAAATTTATAATTTTGCACCAAAGGAAATTGAAAAATTACCTAACCTTTTTATAACAAGAACAATTTATTTTTTAATAACCCAATTAATTTTTTTAGATTTGTTTACAATATTTAATCAACAAACCGGGAAAAAAAATTTTTTCGTTAGGGTTCAAAAAGATTTTGGCCAAATTTTTATTACACAAATTTTCACTTGTCCTATATGGGAAAATGACTTTTCTATTTTAAACCAAATCGCAAATTCTGCCTATTCGGCACCCCCCCTCCTCCTCTTTTCTCTCTCTCTCCCCCTCCTCTCCTCTCTCTCCCCTTCCCCTCTCCCTCTCCCCTCTCTCTCTCCCCCCCCTCCTCTCTCTCTTCCTTTTCTATTTTTAAAATATATATATATAATTTTTATATATAATAATATTTTTTTGTATATATAACAATAAACAAGTAAACAGGTATTATAAATTGTAAAACAACCTTGTAAAGAATAGTGAAATTCTAAACACTTTTTTGACTTCTCCATTTTCAAGGGAAAATTTTAAAAACAAAAATCAATAAAGAGTCAAAGACCCCACCTCCCATCACGTCACCACAACAAAGCAACACTCACACACGCATCGACACCCCAAATTTGAAACCCCCCAAAAATCTACCCAGAAATTAAGTTTATTTCTTGTTAAAGTATCATTAAATTCTTCCCAAATTTTTTAATTATAAAAAATCCAATTTATATCAACCAAAGGAAATTTTCAATTTTTTTCAAAACTCTTTTATAAACTGATTTCAATTATATTCCTTAAAGTGGTATAAAATACCGACAGGTTTTAGGTAAGACACAATGCAACAGTTAGGTATCTTTTTTTCGAAAAAAAGATACCTAACTGTTTCATATGGTCTTACCTAAAATTATAGCGTCGACATGGACTTGCGAACAACTTTCTAACTTTTTGAAAACAATTGGGTGGTTTTAAAAACTCTCACATTAAAAAAATAGACAAAATTCTTTTCCATTCAAAGTTATATTTTTGTTGTTTTTTTTGGTTTTCGAGACTTTTACCTAAAAAGTCCGCTAAAAAAACTCCTTTACGAACTCCACTCAAATCTTTTTTCCCTGTTCCCGGGAAAAGTTAAAACGTTGTCCGCTTTTACCCTATTAATGGAAACAATTTATAAAAGAAACGAAGACAACAAAAAACTGTCTGGCCTAATGGTGATTGGCAAGCAATAGAAAACAAAAAAAAAAAAATATTTTCGGGAAAAAACAAACGCATAAAATTTGACTTGAGCAAAGAATCAAATTGCGTTTTTAAAAACTTTATTTGCACAAAAATTTTGCTCACGGAAGGGGGTTTAAAAACCGTAACGAAACTCTGTGCCCTGAACGCCTGCGAGGCTAATGGATTCTAATAAAAAAACATATTGGGAGTGAATTAAATAAGGGAAAAAGCCCTTTTTAATAATAAAAAGGAAAAGGCATGAAAAAGCGGAACACAGAAATTAAAACGCGATTTAAAGACCCAAAAGAAAAGGGAAAAAAAAAATTTTGGGGAGAACAAGGGGAAAGGAATAATTGATGGCTGGGGCCCCGATGGGGAATTGATGACTGATGAGTGGAAGTCTGAAAGGAGAGAGAGAGAGAGAGAGAGAGAGAGAGAGAGAGAGAGAGAGAGAGAGAAGAGAGACAGAGACAGAGGACAGCAGAGAGGAGAGAGAGAGAGAGAGATAGAGAGAGAGAATTTCTCTATAACCGCTATTTTGTTAAGTTAGGTTACACACACACACACACACACACACACACACACACACACACACACACACACACACACACACACACACACACACACACACACACACACACACACACACACACACACACACACACACACACAAAAGACTCAC